TTTATTTTTATTTTTTATTTTTGTGCTGTTATTGTAAATAATTTGAGTTAATTAATCCCTCACATTTCAGGATTTAAGATTTTCGGCAAAAAGGACTGGCGTTCGTTTGCAATAAGGATTGGCTTTTCTTATCTTATTTTACATAATTAAGTAATCCACCATTTAATGTCTATGTTTTGTTCATCTCATTCTCTTATCATCATATTTGTCCTTGTGAATATGAACAAGTATTGTGCAAAATCTATGTTTTCACAATACTACCTAAATAATTTGTATATATTGTATATATAAGCTATTTATTATTAAAAAAAATTGATTATTCAATTTTGCTCGTCATCTCTATTTTCTTGTATTTTTTATTATTATTATTTTTTTATTTTTTAACGAATGAACAATACTTTCAAATTGTAATTAAAAAAATAAAATTTATATATATAGTCATGAGAAGGATTGATAATTGATTTTTTTTTAATCGGTAAAAGTAAATTTATAGATCAAAACTGTGGTTCAGACAACTAATAATCGGCATACAAAAGTGCAGGGGGCAACCACAATCTCGATTCCTCACTGGCGAATAATATTACGACGAGGGCAACTACATGTCGGTTGCTCACTCAGGTCTTTAATTGTGGATAATTAAAAATCTTGATTCTCTAAGATCTTGGAAAACCACCCGTGAATCAAACAGCTTGATATTCACAGTTGTTTTATAGTCGTTTCAAAAGGCTTCATCCTCACCTTACATTTGATGCCAATTATGATCTGAATCACAAAATAATTATGCCAATTCATTAAAGGAAAATCTACTTGAGATTATCTCAACCTCAATCTCGTCTGATGTAAGAGACTAACAATAAGAATTGATATCAAATAAGTATGTTCTATGAAAGTTCATTGGCATAATTATATTAAAAAAAAAAAAAAATTAAGACTTTTAATAAACATTTTCAAAATCGAGAAATTGAAAGAAGACGAGAAGCAGAATAATGTATATCCATGTATCGATCTATAATCTATAACTCTCTTAAAAGATGAGTGATTTCTTGAAATTTTGAATTGTCCATACTACTATAAAAAGATACTATTACTTTTGAACATATAAATTTGATTTGTGATTTTAAATTAGAGTTGATAATATTGATTTATAGCTCATCGAACCACACTTAAATAGAAATTTGAATTGCCAATACTCTATCTTACAAAAAAGAGATGTAACTTTTATTTGAATGATATAAATGTAATATCATAATTTTAACTGAAAATCAGGGTACAACTACATAACTATCTTTTTTCTCTTATTATAAATAAGTTGTGTTCAGCTCTTTCCTTTTCTCTTCATCATATGCGTTTATTTTTCATTCTTATAAACTTTATATTAATTTCATCCTATTATTTTTCATCATATGCAAATATTAATTGATTTATTGTAAGATTACAAATAGTCTCATTTTGGTGCATTGCCTTCTAAATTGTTGTTCATTTTCAATCAAAAATTGTTGCAGATTAAGTATGCCACTATCTATAAGTCATTTAAATATTTTTCAAATGAAACTGTTATTCAATAGTGACATTTTAATGACTTTATGTTTTATCATACTTGCATATTCATTATTTGTAATGTTATTCATGTATGTCGAATTAGAAAAAAAATGAGAAAAATTAGTATGATGTGTTTTAGGGTCTACTGAAATATAAAAATCTTTAATTATTCTTTATTTATAAAAATCGATGAGGAAAAAATAGTGAATTATCATGTCTAAGAAGTATGGCCTTGTTTTGCTATCAGCGGATAGCGGATAGCGGATTATATTAGCTGATTTGACAGCGGATTGCTTTAGCGGTTTTTAATAAGTGTTTGGTAAATAACTGGAAGCTTATAGCGGATTACCAAAGAGGCTTATCAAATAAGCTATTTACCAAAAAAGCTCAATAGCGGCTTTGACGGGTCAAACTCTCAATTAAGTCAACCCGTTACGTATCTTCAATCCGCTATCTACTAAACAAGGTCAATTATATTTTATAAGTAATAAAGAAAAAATTATAAATATACAAGAGAACGACCCCATAAGCTTTCGCTTGTGCGTCTTTCTAAAATTGCAGTCATGGTAAACTCAGTTCTTATAACTTAATTAATTCATGCAACAACAACAACAACAACAACAACAAAAACAGTCTTTTAGTCCCAAACAAGTTGGGGTAGGCTAGAGATGAAACTCAAGAGAAATCGTGGTAAGAGAAACACAAGAAATAGCTCAAAACAAAACAAAACAAAAACAAAACAAAAAGAAAGAGATTGGAGCAAAAGAGAAAGGAGCAAAAGTCACGATTCCGGCACGTTGATCGCTAGCCTCCAAGCGCTCCTATCCACCGCTAAATCCTTGGAGATATTTCAATTTTTAAGGTCTCTCTGAACCAACTCTTCCCAAGTGAGTTTAGGCCAACCTCTACCTCTCTTAACATCATCAGCCCGCTGTAGAACTCCCCTACGCACCGGTGCATCAAGAGGCCTCCGTTGGACATGTCCGAACCACCTCAGCCGATGTTGAACCAATTTCTCCTCAATTGGAGCCACCCCGACCCTATCTCGAATATCCTCATTCCGGATTCTATCCCTTCTTGTGTGCCCACAGAACCAACACAACATACGCATCTCTGCTACACTTAGTTGTTGGACATGTTGCCTTTTTGTAGGCCAACATTCAGCACCGTATAGCATCGTCGGGCGAATCGCCGTCCTATAGAACTTACCTTTTAACCTTTGTGGCACCCTCTTATCACATAGAACGCCTGAATCTTGACGCCATTTCAACCAACCGGCTGCAATTCTATGCCTAACATCTTCATCAATGCCGTCATCCTTCTGTAGCATCGATCCTAAATACCAGAAAGTCTCCTTCTTGGCCACCACTTGCCCGTCAAGGCTAACGTCACCATCATCATGAGTAGCATGCTGAAAGCGCACGTCATGTACTCGGTCTTCGTCCTACTAAGTCTGAAGCCTTTCGACTCTAACGTGTCCTTCCACATCTCTAACTTCATATTTACCCCTGCCCTACTCTCGTCAACTAGCACCACATCATCAGCAAAAAACATACACCAAGGGATATCACCTTGTATGTCCCTTGTGGCCTCATCCATCACCAAGGCAAATAAATAAGGGCTCAATGCTGACCCCTGGTGTAGTCCTATTTTAATTGGGAAGTCGCTGGTATCGCCCCCCCACATGTTCGGACATACGTCATCGCATCCTTGTACATATCCTTGATGAGGGTAATGTACTTAGATGGGACTTTGTGCTTTTCTAAGGCCCACCACATGACATTCCTTGGTACTCTGTCATAAGCCTTCTCAAGGTCGATAAAGACCATGTGCAAGTCCTTCTTTTGGTCCCTATATCTCTCCATCAAATGTCGTATTAGGAAAATCGCCTCCATGGTCGACCTTCCAGGCATAAACCCAAATTGGTTTTGGGTCACACTCGTCACTCATCGTAGGCGATGCTCGATAAACCTCTCTCATAGCTTCATCGTATGGCTCATCAACTTTGATATAGCCCTATGGTCGTAGCCCGATTCAAGCATTAGTTACTCGACTCACGTTGCCAAGAATAT